GACACATCATCCACACACAGTTCTGCAGCGGACGTTATCCCCTCATCAAAGCATGTGCCAGATTTCGATGTCTCATTATGGAAATTTGTGATTGTTTTTTTTTTTTCTCTCTCCCTCGTTTTACTTTGCAGCAATATTCTGGTGCTTCAGTATTTTTTTTTTTTTTTAAACACTGCATTAACCTCGATGTCACTGCCTCATAACAGTCTTCACAAGCACGATTCTAGTCTTGTACAATGAATATAATGGTTATTTGGTCCTTCGTGGTATTTTATTTTCTGCCTTTGTGTAACTCAGTAGTACCATTTACAATCAGTGACTTTAAAGAAAAGAGGTGACGGTATACCTGAGGATAACTACTTAATACTTAAGGACTTCGGATCTTAAGTGAGTGCTTTATGCCCTAACAAGATATTTTAAAAAACTTTTTTTTTTTTTTTTAGGGCAACAAACCAGAATTTGACACAAGTGCAAACATTGAGAATGTTTAAAATTCTTCAAGATTTGCTACAAAAATCAAAATGACCCTGAATGACCTTTAAAAAAAAAAAAAGTACTTACTAACACTTGACCGTTCACAACAGTGACCAAATGCAGTTATTGTGTTCCAGTATTTGTACATACAACGCCACGTGTCGCAGTTTGATTACTTTAGCTGTCTTTGTGTTTTTGTTCTCTGCTTGACTAGCTGATAGTTCTGCACATGAAGCCAGCAGGCTGCTTTTCCTGTAGTTAACCTGGATTCTATGTAAAATATGTTTGCATCTGACAGCTGTAATTCACATCTGAATAAAAACAGTTTTTGTATGTTTCACTCCGAGTCATTGAGTTTCATTTCTGTACACCTTCTAACACAAATCAACTGGAAACGCTCACTTAAAATTTTTTAATAACCTTTTTTTCCTGTCCATGAACGAAGAACATCAGAGAACAACCCACGAAGAACAGATGACAAAATTCCATTTTCTTAAAAATAGACAAAATATAATGAAAGAAGATACTCCCATCTTGCAGCGACAGGTTAAAACATGGCAAAGTAAAAGCGACACAGTTACCAAAGTGCCAAAGCTTACTATTACTCCTGTCTTACATTTTCAATCTGAAAATTATCTCTTGCTGTCAAATAAGCTTTTCCACAATGTACATAACAGCCCACAGTGAGAAGGGAAAGAACAGAGTACATAAGCAAGGGATAAAATTACTTTTGTACAAAAATAGAGCTTTTACCAAGTGTTGTTTTTTTGTTTTTTTTTAACTACAACATTTTACTGTTTATGCCACAAAGAAAGCAGTGATTGTGTCACATGTTCAGCTTGTCCTGGTTACTTTTTTTTCTTTTTGAACATACAATTGTTAAGCAACACATACATTTCAGAGGGTTTCAAATCTTAACCACTTTTCCCTCTCTTTCATAGTTTACTAAGGTCCCATAAACTGCTGAGAAGCTGGTTTGAGTTTAACTGCTGCAATTCTGCTGGTTGATCAGGATTTTTTTTATTAAGGTCAAAATGCAAACAAATCCTCGGGGGGGGGGGCAAACACCATGAAACGCTTGAAGAACACCTGCCGTGAAACCGTTTGGTCTGAATCACTCATCTCCTTCTTTCAATGTTGGAAATCCTTAAGGAATAGAGCTGTCGATATATATATTTATAAATATATACACATATACATATTAACAAAATATAGCATTCAATGTAGGTAATCATTCTTTGTCCATTTCTTTCTTGTCAAGATCGATTTATGGCTTAAGATAGCTGCTGTCACTAATCACAGTAGAAGGAGACATCGGACTCAAAAGAACAGGAGAATAATCGTTTTAACACTTGGGTCACCCGGTTGGAAAACGAGCATTGGATTGTTTTATCATCTGCTTTTCTTGATGAAAATCAGCCTCTAAAAATAGTTTCCTTTGAAATTGTATGAACGTTTTTGATTTAACAGACAAACAAGTATGTATATATAGATATATATATCTTTTTTTTTTCAATAATATAAATACTGTAAGCTCAAGCTGGCAGTCAATACTGTCACATGGATAGGTTGTAATATTCAGGCCACCTCAATGAAAATAGAGAATAAGAATCAAACACAAAGCCAATTGGTCTTTTTGACGTTATTGCTACTTTACTCAGTTTTACTAAGCACAGATACTGAGGTTTTGTCTGAGCCAAAGGAATATTGATGATAGTAATGCGGTTAGAAAGTGCCTTCTTTTTGTTAACAACAAAAACAACAACAACAACGACAACAAAAATTCAAGTTATGTTGCAGCGCTCTTTCTCTTCCACTAGAAGGAGCTCGCAGCTCTTAAACTGCTACTACATCCCTCCCATTCCTCTTACCCAAACTTCTCCCTCACCCAAAGTAAACCTTGCAGTCGTGCTTGAGCTCTATAGCATCTGACATTTCAGAGCCAGCGTGTATGAACTGACTTTTTGATTTTTTTCATCGTAAGACAAAAGAGATCATTGGCCATCTGGGGGATCAGTTTCACAGAGGTGGAATGACATTTACAAGTTCTCTCCCAGCGCGTGCTATTTATTATAAAACTAGCACCAAATAATGATGAAAAACTGACATACGGACATTTTACAGACTGGTTTGTTTTTTTCTGAGTCAGAAATCTATGGAGTCTTGATGACCCTCAAACTTGATTATAATTGATTCATGTGCTAATAAACTCAACATCAGTAGCTGACAGCTAAACTAAGCTCCGATTGCTTCCCACGAGTTTCATTTTTCATAAACCAACTGCGAGACTGGATATGATGAAATATACATGAAACACCAGCTGATTAAAAAAAAATTTGTTTTATCATTTTAAGCGTGGATTTTATTTCATACGCTTAATTTACTTACATTTTCAGTGCAATTCAGATTTTCATTTATCCATTACTATCAAGCAAATTATTTTCAAAGGGCACACTCTCAAGACTCCACACATTTCCTCAGACCCCATTAAAAATCTGACTTTTATCAAAATGTAATGAAAACACAGTGCTCGGGTTTCTTTTTTTTCTCTTTTGTTTTTGCCAGGTTCAGATAGTGTAAAGGTGCTTATGAAAGAGTAGCAAAGATGCAGATATAGAAAGAAAATCCTATTTAAATCTTTTTAACCGTCATAGGTATTATTATTATCTGCAGTAGCAAAGCTGGTGCTTTTTTTTTTAATTTGGTTTTTTACACTTGGTGAGTTTGTTTGAAATCCTGGTGACACCTGCTGTAGTGTGACCTATCACAAAGTTTAGGTTTGAGTACTTTCGCTGGTGTTTATATGTCCTTCTGTTTCTGGGCAGATTTTTGTCATCGAGGGTTACCATGTCAGAATTTGTTTTAGCCCTTACTTATAGTGGCCACATTTACTCGAGAGGCTTTGCCTTTTTGCCAGGCCACCGCTGTAAAGAGCAGTTTTCTCTTAATAACTTGCCTGGTTAAATACAAGTTTGAGTTAATTTCAATCAAATGTGAGTAAACCAGAGCTAAATAACCCCTAAATATCTTTAAAAAACAACAACAACAAAACCCTTGGTATTATTTTCTCCTGCCAGTAAAAAACTTGCAGTGGACCCACATTTGACAAACACATTTCTTTAAAAGATCTGAGATCTGTGGACAATCTTTGGAAATGCAATTGATGCATAGTTTTGCAGCAGCTGCAGCATTTACAGAAAAGCAGAGGAGGGGGGGGAAGCAGAATATGGGCATAAAGCATATTTATACACAACATGTATATATGTAGAAACATGGATATTTAACATTTCAGTTCAACTTATACGACACTTGGTTGTCCAGAGAAGTGCAGAGAGAGCGAGTGTGTGTGTGTGTGTGTGTGTGTCCCTCTGAGGTGTTAAACAATTGTGGCGTTCCTGATTGGGTCGGGGCCAGAGTCCACCTCAGAGGTCAATTACATCGACATCAGCTCTCTGTTTAGAAACCCGACTCCACGGTCATGAGGTTAAGTGCCAAGTAACAAACAAACAAACAAATAATGGCTCCTGCTGCAACAGCAACAAGTACATCTCTCACATACTGTATATGGTCTAATCCTAAATGGGTATCAAGAACTGAAGGTCCGAAGGATGGAGGCAGAGGTAAATTGTGCATTGCTGTCGTTAAAAGTGAAAACTGAAAATAACGTCAATACTGTTTCTGTACAGGTAGATATGAGGTGTTTTGAAAAGCTAATACCCGCTGTGTTGAGCAGAGTGTGGAGGTGTAAATGGTGTGCTGGAATTCACATGAAACGCGAGGTGGAGAGGGTGGAGAATGGACGATAAGGAGCTAAGAGGCTGGCAAAACTAGGACGTTTACCCACAGTGTGAGTGTGCACAAACTTTCCAGGCGTCCAAGCTTGTCGTGATGAAGGCCAAATGTTGGAAATGTTACTTTCCAAAATATATGTTGTTCCTCCGTGTGCTGGTAGCCTTTCAGAGCATCCAGTGGGCTGTAAAGCTTACAGTTGGGTACTTTAAAACAGCCTGAATGGTCCTGTGTGTAGATTGTACATAACAAACTTTCCCAACTCTCTGTCGAGCAATACGCGAACTGAAGGGTTGATAAGTGGACTACCACAACATTCTCCCCAGTGTTGCACAGTGTTTAGAGTAAGACATGGTTGTATTTGTTGGAATTGGGCAGAGACCTGAGGGTTTTGAGCTCTTGCAACCTTGTTAACCCACCTCTGAATTCTCCAGAAAGCTCACACATTGAAAAAAGAACACAGCTAGTGCAAGACCTGACGTGCTTAGTTGAGTCAGGCAGGAACAGACAAGTTCCTTTAAGCAGACTTATTTCCCCGAACCAGCCCGCCCCTCTTAATTAAGTTCAGTCCTGAAAGACAGTGAGGGCTCAGGTCCAAGTCTAAACAGCCCAAGGCTCTCAAGAGCCCACGATTGTCCCGATCACAACGTTGAGTGTCCAATTATGACATCATTACTGTTCAATATATGTGTGCATATATAT